GTGGCCGAGAGGTGAAATACCTCTTCTGACAAGGGTGTGAGATGGGGAGGCAGCCCCATCTGCCTGTCCTTGCTGCTTTGAGCAAGGATGATTCTGTTGATGGTTGTGTATGGCCCCTGACACAGCTCTGCAAGGGCCTTTTTCTGCCCCAAAATAAATGGAGAAGAGAACAGTAGGGCACTCTGCAAGGCTGAAGAGTGAATGCCTTCTGTGGTGTGGCAAGTTCCTCAGAAAAATTACTGACTACTGGTAGCTGCTGCTCCCTGTAGCTGAAAGGGGAGGTGTGCTGCCAAAATGACTGAAGGAGCTGGACTGTTTCACAGTCATCTGGTCCTAGGACTCATCTTTGGGGTGATGCCATGGGTTGGGGTGCAGCCAGGGGTACAAGGGACGGAACAGTGCAACTGTTGAAGTCACATGGATTAGACCTGTCTCACCAGGCAGTAGTAGAGGGGGAGAATGGGAGAGAGAAAAGGCTACTGAGCCATTTGCCTTGGCTTTCAGAGCTTCCTCAAAACTGCTGTGAAAGACATGCTCCACCTTAATTGTTGGTCCTTGCAAATAAATCTTTCATTTGTCCACAGGATCAGAAGCACAAAGTAAGACAATTGGGGTTGGTGGTCTCCCTGGGGACAGGGAAGCCTCCTCAGGTCCCAGTGAGCTCTGTGGATGTTTTCCGCCCCTCCAACCCTTGGGAGCTGGCGAAGACCGTCTTTGGGGCCAGGGAGCTTGGCAAGATGGTGGTGGATTGTGTGAGTACTGGGAGGAGGGGATGGGGGAAGACCCCTGGGGCTGCTTGCAGGGGGGGAGCAAAGGTTTCCAGTCTTCAGCTTCTTCCTTTTGTAAGAAAAGTGTATTTCTTTGGAACTGCTCTGACCATGGCCAGTTCAAGGGATGGATGTAGTGGATAACCTAAGAATTACAGGAGCACAGCAGGTCTGAAGCCCTTGTCTGCCTGTTTGGGGTTTTACGTGCCAAGGGAAGTGCAGCTCCTGCAGCTGTAAGGAGCTAAGGTGTGGGAGAGCTGAGGACAGGATGGTGGTCAGTGACCCCTAAGAACATTTGTAGGTGTGAGTTTGTGAAACTCAGTATCTTTTCAGAGAGCATTGATTATCATGTAAGCAACCTGGACCAAAAAAGTCACACCTCAGAAAACAGCAATTCATTTTTCTTTGGAAAAGCTTTGTTATTCCCACTGAGGAAATTAGCAAATGCTAGAGAAGTGGGAATATCACTAATAAAAAGCAGTAGTTCAGAGCTCTGGTTAGGAGTGTGTAATAGGCATGTGTTCTTGGAGGCTTCAGAAAGAAGCTCATTAAATGTTGTACATGAAAACACTCCAAATTAATGAAAGCCAGAAAGATCAGAACCTGAGGTTTTGACTATAATCTTAATTCTGTCACTTTATCTGCTCTTAGCTTCCTAAAGCCAGAAAATACCCAGAGAGGTCCCTCTGCTTTACCTGTCTTTTTATTTCAGGGCTCCCAGGGAAGCTGTCCTGGGATTGCCCAGAAAGCCTGCAGTAATCACGGGCTCTACTGGTACTGGACTTGGACAGAATGGATTGGGATTAAATCCCAAGAAGGCTATGATTCACATCATCCTGGGGGTTTCCTTAAGGGAATCCACTCACTGCTGAGGTGGATGGAAGATGTGTAGGGTGCAGTTCCTTGTGTCCCAAAGATCCAGGAGCACTGTTCTTATGTTTTTGTTTTTTGGGTTTTTTTTGAAAAAAAAACAAAACAAAAAGCCATCCCACTCTTTGTGGTGAACGTTGCCATCCAGGATGCACTGGCTCTTGCTTTTCCCTCTCCCTCTGCGGCTTGTATGGGTTTGACTTGGTGCCAGGGGAGCCTGTTGTGGGCAGGGAGGGCAGTGTGACAGTCAGGCGCTGACTGTGGGCCTGTTTCTCCTGCAGTGCACTGACGCAGATGGCCCAGCTGTGGATCGTGCCAGGGCCTGGTGCGAGATGACGGATGTCCCATATTTCCGGTAGGAGCTTCCTCTCTGGTCTCTGTACAGACCTATTTTTAGCCCTCTCACTTCAGACCTATCTGCGGCCTGTATCATCCCAAATTGTGTCCCCTCCAGCAGCATGTCTGCCCAGACCTGTCCCCCTGCCCCCTCTCCTCAGTGACGTATTGGAGGATCTACGAGCTGATGCACCACTCGCACCTTGCCTGGGGTTGGTTAGGGGGGGCTCAGGGGATGCTGTCTAATGGGGTCCTTAGGGGATGTGCATCCTGCCCTATTCCACTACGCAGAGCATGTTTTGAGGCTCGTGCCTTAGGTGGTGCTGAACTCTCAGCCTTGAGTGTGGTTGTGCCTTGAAGCAGGGGGAAGGCCTCCGCTCTGCAAGCCTGCTAGATGAGGGGAAGCAACTGCCCAGGATGGTGGGAGCCACTTTGCACGAGTCTTGTGCTTGGCACACTTCCTGCCTTGTCGTGCTCATGTTGGTTCCTGGCTGACGATGCTGTTTTGCTGTATGCAGGCTCAGCCCTCAGCTGCACATGGAGGTGATGTTGGACGAGGTGAATGACACCGTGCTGGTGAATGCTCTCTGGGACACCCAGCTTTACATCTACCAGCAGTGGGAGCAGTTTGAGCAGCTGGTGCAACATCTCTGCCGATGACTGACCTGGAGGTTCCTGTTCAGCATCCCTATGGCAAGGAGCAGCAGATATTGAAATGGCTCATATTTGCCCTTGAACCAGGATGTTGAGGTGGGGGTAGGACTACTACTAATAATAATGAGGAATTAATGATATTTAATAGACAACAGCACACATACACATGTATTCCATAACACACCCATGTATTCCTGGACAGGTGTGAAATGCTGACAGTTATCTTTGTACTGTAGCCCCATCTCTGCTGCTGTGCTCAGTTTTGCTGCCCTGCTCTCTGACCATATGGCCCTTCCCAGAAGCCAGAGCCCCTACTCACCTGTCTCGAGCTGTAGCAGCTGGAGTCTCTCTCCTGCCTGTGCAGCAGCTCTACTGACAAAGCACTGTGCACCTTCCCACAGCACAGAATGAGTTAAGGCCAGATAAAGCTTCAGGGATTACCTGGCCCACTGGGGCCAAGGTGTTTTGGAGTGTACGGTGTGGGGAAAAGGGGTTACTGTTCCCTCAGCATGCCCAGTTTGGAGGGAAGCAGAAATGCTGCAACTTTGTGCAGTATTTATGACACAGAATGTTGTGACTGGCTGTGGGAGAAGGGGGAACCTTTCCTGAGACAATTGTCTTCTGTAGCACCTTCCCCTTTCCCCTCCGAGATGGGCTGACAGCACAGCTCCTGACCCCCCCAGAGGCTGTTTTGTGCCACCTGACTTGCTGTGCTCTTTGTGCGAAGGCTGAGGTGTGAAAGCCTGTCTTTACTCGCAGCAAGCTCAAGATGAGGGACAATAAACTTGGCTTGGTGAAGAGATAATTTCTGTTCTTAACATGGAATTGAAATGCTTGGAGATCAGTTCCCACTAAAGAAGCTGACCTTGTGACAGTTTGAATATAATTTATTTAATGCTGAAAATTCCATTGTGAATGCGACACTATTCAATGTTTCTGCAGTAAATTTTCATATTTATAAATAATTTATGTATCTATTTGGAGGTGTTTTGAGGAGTAACCTGAAAAACTGAATTCTTAATCATCTGCTTTTGACTGGACAGACTGCTGTTGTGAACGGTGCTTCTATGCAAAACTAACATCACCTGAAATAAAGAGAGGTTTGCATTTGGTTCCACTGTCATGCAGTCCGTGGTTGTCTTGTCTCTCTCTCCATCCTACAAAGTCCCAGAGAGGTTCTGAGCTTGCAGCCTCTGAATTTCTTACAGGTAGAAAATCAGGAATGGGGCTCCTTGAGTCACAGGGTTATACCCTTCGTGTGGGCTGAAGAGGTGAAGGGCCTGTCCCTGCAGCCAGCCTTGGGAGCACGTATGTGGTGTGAGTGGCTGGCTGTCCCATGAAGCACAATGCTGCATGCTGGGCTTATCCATTGCAGCCAGTGGAGAGGCTTTGGACCAGCTCCCACGTGAGAATCCTCTTGGAGCTGGTCTGGCCTAAAAAGAGGAACACTGAAAACCCTTGGGATACAAATGGCTGGAGACGGGGCTTTAATGTTGGCATCCCCAGGTGCTTCCTGGACAAGGTAACTGCTGCAAGCTTGCTGGACCTGATGCCCACTGATTCCTAAGGGACACTGCTGGCAGGAGTGTGGGTTCTGGGTCATGAATAGGGCTAAAAACTGATTATCTGCCTTCTGATCTTCACTCTCACAAATAAGATTGTGGAATTAAGGGGCTTTCAATGTGGAGTAAAGGTTTTCTTTTTCCTACATAATGGAGGGACTTACCTTCCTCTGGAAAAACAAAATCCCACAGCTTGGGATTTTACTTTTTGCCCCTGGCTTGTGCTCTCTCCCTTATAAACCTGCACCATCTGCAGGGACTTCTCAGAGTGACCTGTGCTCGGGCTCCCTGCATGTGGGCAGGGAGAGCAGGAGGGTCCAGGCACAAGGTCACGCCTGCTGTCAGGGAGTCTCACTGAGACTGGGAGTGGGAGAGATGCTGAGAGCCAGAGGGCTGAGGCCTGGGGTGGGGGAATAGAGGGCAAGGAAGAGGCGAAACCAGTTTTGAGCTTTCCTTATGTTTCGCCCCAGCTCCTGCTATTTGCTGCCTGCAATCACAAGCTGCGGGCAAGGGACCTGAGGATGCTCTGCTGGCACAGCGAGGCGGAGCGAGCCTCCTGCGAGCGGCGGCAGTGCGGGAGGCGTTGAGCCATAAGGCCATTACTCTGACAGGTGGCTGGCTCTGCAGGTGTCAGGGCAGGCAGGGCTGGGTACCGAGCTGGCAATCAATAATTCAAGGAGGTGGTCACATGCCCTTGCTGGCTGTTGCAGGATTCCTCTCTCCCCAGAGTCCGGTTACTTCCAGAGATCAAGTTCCAGCCTCTTGGCTGGTGAATTATTAAACTCCAGCAGTGCTCCGTTCCCTTTGTACCACGTCTGTGTCTTCCTGCTGTCCTACCTTGCCAGTGACAGGCTCTTTCCATCCAGCCGCCTGTGCAGAAGCAGAGTCCTCCAGGCCAGTATAGCACCTTGTGCTCTCCTTTGCTCCTTGCTTCTCCGTGGGAGAGGGAAAAGGCTCTGGAGATGGACTTGTCCTACAGATCCACCATCTCCATCTATAAGGTAAGTGCCGACACCAGAGGCTGCTCCTGCCTGCCTAGGGAAGATGTGCGGGTGGGAGAAGAGCTGTTTTCTGCCAAAGGCTCCCTTGAAGGGTGGACAGCTGAGGGCTGGACCTGTCCCTGGGCAGAACTCCTGTGGGCTCTGTCCGGGCTGTGTTTGAGAGCAGATGGCTGGTGGGCAGGGAGGGTGGTGTGGGTCTCAGGACAGATCTAGGAAGGAACTGGACACCTGGGATGGTTTGGACAGGGAGCATGTTTATGCATGTTTTCCTGTTTGCTGGAAAGAGCAGTCTGATCTCACACACGCTTCCCTACGCACATTGGTGCTGCACCGAGGTGGTGATGGCTGGGAGAAGGGGGAATTGCTTATTCCAGCCTCTGGTCTTCTCTGCTGTAGGCAATAAACACCTTTGATACATACAGCAGGTAAGAGCGGAGAGGCTGGTCTGAAGCAGTCCATCCCTTCTCTTGGCAAGCTGCTGACTGGCAGTGCACCAAATCCTGCCTGGGAAAAAAGTTGTGTTCATGCCTGGATAATAAGCAGTGGCCCTCACCCCAACAGGCTCAGGGGTAAGGGGAAAGGCTGCTCAGATCCCCTTGCAGTTACTCTCCTGTCTGTAGTGGGTGTAGGGCCTTGGGAGAAAGCCATCTTCAAGTGGCCACCTGGCTCTCCAGCAAGCTACCTTGCCCTGGAGAAGACTTGGGGCAGCTGAAGGTCCCAGCTACCTCTGATGCAGGGAGCTGACTTTGTTCACGGCTGTACGTTGCCACGGCCATCCAGCGTTGTGGCTGAGGGAGCTCCTTGGGTTTCTGCTGCACCCAGCCAAACGGCATCGACCTGCTGAGGTCTCTGGGGCATGGGGAAGACTGGCCTTAACCTGCTTCTGCCTGGCCACAGAGTATCCTGGAGCAGTTCAACCCTGCGCTGGAGAACCTGGTGTACCTGGGGAACAACTACCTGCGTGCCTTCCACGGTGAGTGGGGTCACACATGGCCCAGGCTCCAGATCATGCTGCTGCATCAATCCTGGGTGTCCACCCTGGGTGCATCAGGAGGTACTGCTATCACCCCGGGCCAGGCTGCTGGTCCCCCCTATGGCATGTCCTCAGCAGGTCTTACTCACTTTTCTCCTGCTCCAGGACCTGTTATTAGGGACAAATGGGGGAGAGAGGGTGCTATTGCCTATAGGCGAGGTAGCAGGGGGTGAACTGTCCTGTGTGCTGCTTGCTGGGGCTGGTGATGGTGGTAAGGCAGACAAGATCCTCACCTCCCCTCTTCTCTCCTCACAGCATTATCCAAAGCGGCTGAAGTGTATTTTAAGGCAGTCGAGAAGATCGGGGAGCAAGCGCTTCAGAGCGCCACCTCACACGTGCTGGGTAAGGCTCTCCCACTCGCCATCCTCTGTCCTGTGAAGAGCCGCGGTTACGTTTTTTTGACCTTCCCCTTAGCTAGTCCCTTTTCAGGTTCTGTGAGAAGAAAGCTCCTCTAAATGGTGTCTCAAAGTACCGGGCCCTGTCCAGGCACTATGAATGAAATTTATTGTGTATCCTTGAATACCCCCCAAGGCCCCAGCACTCTCACCTATATGTCTCTGAGATCAATGACTGAGCCCAGCTCCTGGGATAGACCTCCAGTGATGGACCTCTCATGAAAGGCAATCCTTGCTGAGGCATCCTACCCTGAGAGCTGAAGTTTTCATCTTGGAGGAACCATTTTGCTCCTCCTTGCAGGTGCGAGGGAAAAGCTGAAGAGCATAGACTGACAACAGCTGAAGGGGTGTTGTCCTCCTGACCCTGCAGCCAGCTGAAACAGCAGCTCAGAGCTGAGGGGCTCACACTCAGCAGCACAAATAATTCCACAGCCCAATGACAACTGCTGAAAATATGTTAATGGAACAATTCTGACGCTCAACATTTTAGCAAAAAACTTCCAGCAGATGTGTCCCTTCTGCAGACTCCTACCATCATCTGCACTACCCAGCTCACTCTTCTGCTCCCTGTCATCAGTCTCTTCCCTTGATACTTTCATAATGCCAACACCAGTGAAGTGCCCACAGCATCAGCAATGGGTGCTGTAGCTACTTTCCTGTAGGACAGCCAGAACCATGGACTGTAGCTGGGGTACCACTGAGGGTGGAAATGAGGCTTGTAGGGGCTGCAGCACCCAGAGACCATGGCAGAGCTGAGGCTGCCTGCCAGCACCATGGACTGTAGCAGAGCACTGGTCTGGCAGGTTCACGGGCTGGAGCAACCCTGCGTTGGTAGTGCCTGGGGAGTGGTGGCAGAGCTGAGCCCTGGGGAGGAAAGTTACCAGCCTCTCTCAGGGTGTGGAGAGCAGTGCCTTGCAATATCTGTTGGACTTTCACACCCATATATCATCAGCCTGAGTTGCACACTACTAGTCTGCCTCCTTGGGTGCACAAGGAAATAGCCCTGGGATTTTTTCTCCCTTTTCTGTCGTTGAAGGTGAAATTCTGATGCAGATGTCTGACATGCAGAGACTCCTGAGCTCTGATTTGGAAGTTGTGGTGAGTAATTTTCCCGGGGGCTGGTGCAGGTGGGGAAAAAAGGGACTTCCTTAACCACAGCATGCTGGCATTTGGCCAATTTGCCCCATCTCCTGCCCTCTGATATGCCTGCTGGCAGGTGCCTGCCTCCCTGCTACCCCTGCTACGTGTGACAGAGGCATGTTACAGAGCTGGCATGCCTGGAGCCTGGCTGGTGTTCAATGTTTGGTGCTGCTGGTGGACTGTCACCACCTCTCTGCAAGCGTGGTGGCAGGTGTGTGGTAGACTGAGCAATGCCTGGCTCTGAAGATATGACGAGGCTGTCCTGTCTTTCCCTGGCTGGCAGTGGTAGGACAGGAGTGGAGGGGATGATGAACCTTCCAGACACCGCTGTTTTTGCCCATGCCAAAGCTCAGAGGTTAACGCTCGGGTGGGTGCTGAGTGCCAATCCCCAGGCTGCTCATGGTAGGGCTGCTCCATGGGAGCCCTAATGTGCCCGTTTCTGGCTTCTGTGTGGGATCCAGGTTGCAAAGAAGTCACTAGGTCTGTGGGTTTTGTGAGATGCTCCTTCACTGCATATGGGGAAGGGATGAGGGTGATGGCTCCTTTGACTCTTCCAGGCTCAGACCTTCCACGTGGACCTGCTGCAGCACATGGAGAAGAACACCAAAATGGATGTGCAGTTCATCAGTGTGAGTGATGAACTCTCTTCACCCCCTTAACCCTCCTCGTTTCCCTCTCCCCTCTACCCAAGGGCTTTTGCTAGAGCATTTGAGGAGTTTACTTGACTTTCATAAGCAGGAATTAGGGGGCTTTATCTTCTCTCATCATGGACCAGACTCCCCCTAGTTTGGCTGATGATGGAGGGCTAAAGAGGGCAGGCAGCTGCCAGTAGGACTTGCCAAATGCCTCGAGGGGGCTGAGGGACTTGGCATCCAAAAAGCAGGGTTCCCAGATTCCCCAAACTACAGCATTTGCATGGGTGTGGGTCCTGTGCCATTGTGGCCCAGCTGGCCATGCCAGTGGGTAGTGTCATGGAGGGAAACTGGGCACCAGATTTGTTCCTGAGAGCCTGAGGCTCATTAGCGCTCTGGGGCCCTTCACAATGAAGAGAAAGGTAAAGAAAGACTTTTTTAAGAGGTCCAGGTGAAGCCTGATTTTGAGGGGACTCAGATGCTCAACCACTTGTCAGAGCAGGACCCCAGCATGCTGGGTCTCCAGTTCCTCACCTAGCCTGGTTTCTCCTTGGCAGGAAAGCCAGAAGCAGTATGAGCTGGAGTACCAGCGCAGAGCCACCAACCTGGATAAGTGCATGGCAGAGCTGTGGAGAATGGAGAGGGCCCGTGATAAAAACGTCCGGGAGATGAAGGTGAGCAGTGATTGCAGGAAGGGAAGTTGGAAAAAGGACTGGATGATTTAACTGGAGTCAGGACTGATTTCTGAGCAACTTTGTCCTTCCTTAAAAGTCAGGAGGTTGTCCCCAGTGTTCAAAAGGCAGCAGGCTTATCTGGAAAGGATGAAACTCCATTCCTACAGAGTGCTGTTGACCAGTGGTGCTCACTCCTGCCAAGCCCTTGCCTCACTTAGCAAGCCTCAGTGAGCAAGGACTTGGTCTCTGGCACTCTGCCCTAGCTCCTCTGTGCTGCTCCAGCACTGCAAGTGGACTAGGAAGCTGGTAGACTCGATGACCTGTTTCACCCCTTCCCCTGCCATGCGTGAGCCCACTCTGCTAGATTTACACTGATCCCTTCCTCCCTCTTTCCCCTGTGGCCCAGGAGAATGTGATGCGACTGCGCTCGGAGATGCAGATGTTCGTCTCTGAGAGCCAGAGGGAAGCTGAGCTGGAGGAGAAACGCCGCTACCGCTTCCTGGCTGAAAAGCACCAGATGCTCTACAACACTCTCCTCCAGTTCTACAGCAGGGTACGGCCCTGGCATGCCAGGGAGTGGAGCTAGGGGAGCAGGCAGCATGGCTGGAGGGGGGCCATGCAGGCAGGAGGGCACCAGGGCTGAGCCACCCCTTGGGTGAAGGCAGCATCTGTGCATGGAGTGGGCAGGAAACTATTTTATGTCTTGCTCTGGGGTCCAGGCTGCCTGTACTAGGTTGAAAGAGAATGGCTGGGGGAGAGAGGATGGTGCTGACATGGGGTTAGTTGGGTGTGTGAGCAATGAGAGAGGGAAGGGCGATGTAGGTGTTTATGGCAGGTTCACTGGGACCACGAGGTCTCTGCTGAAGGGTGCCATCCTAGAAATTCACTTCTACGGGGATGTTCAACCATTCCCACAAACATAATTGCAGGAGGACCTGGTCCCTAATCTAATGCACGTGGCAGCCCTGGGGTCCCTCTGTAGCTGTTCTGCTCTGTCTGTCACACCCTCTTCTTCTCTTTAATTTCTCCCCAGGCTCGGGGTGTGATCCAGACCAAGGCACCACAGTGGAAGGAGCAGCTGGAGGCCAGCCGCAACCCCTCAAACAGCCACTCACAGGGGCTCCTCATGGCCTCCCATGGCCAGGGGTATCCATTGGGCCGGCTGACCCCCACCCACCTTGAGATGGTGAGGATCCCACAAACAGCCTCTGCCTTGGCAGTGGTGAGGCTGCAGATGGCCCTTTCAGGCTGCAGGGCAAGGCCAGTCTGCTGACTGTGGCCCTTGCTGCCTTTCCTGGCCAAGGTGAAGGGAAATGTGTGTCTGGGCTGCAATGGGGAACATGCTGGGTTTGGCTTTCTGAGGGAGTGGGTATCTCTCAGAGCATCTCCCGCCTGACAGAGCCCCTATGGATTCAGCCTCCTTTCCTTCTAACAGCCCCAGAGACCCCTTGGGGACTTTGCTTCTCCCATGTCTGGGAGTAGATCCAGCATGTTCTCACCGGAGCCTCCAGAAATGAGACTGTCTCCTCAACCGGAGCCTCCCAGGCGGCCACTGCGGAGGACACCATCAGCCAGTATGACCCATGTCTGGGAGCAATGCTGTGGGGACACACAGTGGTTGGGCCTCTCTGGGTCTGGGAACAGGGTTAGGTTTGGGGAGGGACCATCACTCTATCAGACCACTGGTCCTCAGCCATGTGCCTGGACATGGTGAGAGGACAGTGCATATGGGGGCTGGGGAGGGCAAGGCTGAATGAAGCAGAGGGTGAGCACAACCTTCAGAGCAGGGTCCATCCAGGACAAGGTCAGGTTTCCTGGCTGGCTGTGTGAGGGGGAAACTCAGAGGTGTGCAATTTTCAAGGCTCCTTGAACTGTGAGGGCTGGTTCTTATGAGGGTTCCCATTTTGGCAATGCACCTCCCCTTGTGCTACCAGATTAAATATATACCCTGCCCTCCAAAACCCAGCCAGTTACCTCATGTCTCACCTGCTTTTCCTTCCTGAAAAAAAATCAGCTTAAAGTGGTTTTTTTTTTTAAAAAAAAAAAGTGCAGTGGGAGAGGAAAATGACCCAAATTCTCAGTTGCTCTAGCAGGGTCCAGAGGAGGGACATTAGCCAGTCATTTAGCAGACAGTGCCTGCACCCTAGACACCTGGCCAAAGAGGACATAGTGCAAAGCAAGTAGTTTCAGCTTCAGTTGATTTTCTCCTGCAAGATGAATGTTTTACCCCTTCCCTGAGTATTCCCTGCTCTCTGTCCGCAAAGAAAGGCTATCTGCTCTAGGGTAATGACTTGACTGGGGAAGCTCTGGTCCCTTCAAGGCAGTGTGGGTCTTGCAAGAGGATGCTGGACTCCAGGCAGATGCCTCTGATGCCTCCACACAGGTTTGCTCCCTACCGGCCGTACCTCCCGTTCGGGTTCCTTCGGCGAGGCCAGCAGCGGCAGTGAAGGCAGGAGGAGGAGTGGCACGGCAAGAGTGCAGGCTATCGTGCCCCACGCCACAGGCGCCAACCGGACCCTGCTGCGGTTTGACCCCGGGGATGTCATCGCGGTGCTGATGCCGGACGCGCAGAACGGCTGGCTGTACGGCAAGCTGGAGGGCTCCTCCACGTACGTGACTCTGGTGCTGTAAATCTGCCTGGCAGGCTGATGCAGACTTCTCAGGTCTGGAGCTGGGAGGCTTAACCTGAATCTTCTTCCTCCTCCCCTCCTGGCGTGGCCTGGGCACTGTGTCTCACCCACCATCTGAGTGGGATATTGCCATGTCCTCAGCCTTGGGCTGTGCTGAGCACAGGGGCTCTCCAAGCCGAGGAGATGCTGTGGGGCAGGGTGAGCACGGATGAGCTGCCTGAGAAAGCTCCAGAGTCTTTGGGTAGAAGAGCCAGGGATGCAGTGACCCCCTCCCAGCTTGCATGACTGAGTGATTCCTGTCATGGGACCCAGCTCAGGGCCGTGAACTGCTGGAGTTACCTGAGAGGCCTGGCATTTCTCAGCTCACCCCACAACTGCTGCTGCACCGTCCAGCACAGACAGGGCATGGAAACTGCTGTTCCAAGCGCCTACTGAATTCCTCCCTGTGGCGCTGCCAGCCAGCACCTGCGTGCAAAGCCTCCCGTGTTCCAAACAGCATCCCTGCACTGTGCTCTGCAGGGAAGCTCACACTCAGACACCAGATGAGCAAAAGCAGTGCCTTTTTTTTTTTTGTGGGGGGGAGGTTTCTGGGGTGGAGCTGCTTTGCCCTGAGGAGAAGAGATTTCCACAGCTTCTTCGTGTGCTGGTCTTGGTGACCATGATCAGTCAGAACGTCTCTTCCTGGATTGCACCAGCATTGCTCCTGGTAGCAGGCATTTTGCACAGTCTCTGAGATAAGCGAGTCCTGCTCCAAGCTCAAGGGCTGTCTCACAATAACCCCATGCCCTATCTAGGGGTGAAAGATGTGCACAAACCCTGTCACCCATAATATCAGCAGCAGTGGCTCGGTTGATGTGTGAGATCGTTATAGATCAAGAGTGGTGGGCAGCTGGATCTGAAGAACCACAAACCATGCTTGCCTGGACCTCATTTGTCTCTGTTCCTGTGCCCTAGATGTGGCTGGTTCCCTGAAGCTTATGTCAAGCCTCTGGAGGATGCAAGGGAGATGGAGGAGCCAGCCACCAGGTAACAGGAGAGCAATTGGCCAGGCAGGAGCTGGAGTAGCTCCTGGTAGGTCACTAACACCAGTGGGATACCTGTTTGGTGTGTGCCCTGTGGAGAGCTGCAGTGCTCCAATGCTGTAGCATCTGCTGAGATCCTCGCTGTGCCCTGAGGTCTCAGAGGCTTACCCTAGACGGCTCCCCTAACATGTGCAATACCTTCTCAAAGGCACTTGTGACTGGGCCAAAGCCATGTGTATTTTCTCCAGAGACATCCCATAGATACATGTAGTGGCCAGCACCTGTGCTGTCCCCTATTCCTTGCTCTTTGACTCTCACCTCACTTTCTTCTCCTCTTGCTCAGGTCCTTCCCACTGCGAAGCAGTCACAGTATGGATGACATCCTGGACCGTCCCAGCACTCCTTCCTCTAGCAATTACTGGCCTGCTGCTGCCCAGCCAAGTTTGCCGAACCCACCTCCCCTCTCAGTGGGTACCAGCAGTCACCAGAGTGGAGTGGCCACCCCAGTCAGTTCTGGCTCCAAGGTGAGTGCAAGAGGATTAACAGGTATGTGTGTGTGGAGTGGGCAACATCTGACTTTCATCCTCCAAGGCACACCTTTTCTGCATTGGCCTGTTAAGAAAGGAAAACACCTTCCAGATATTGTTGTGTGACCTCCTCCCTTCCTGAGCCAAAGGGTCTCATTAGCACTGGCCTTTCTCACCCAGTCTGTTTGCATGCCACCATGTCCTGGCGGCCCCTGCCAGTCAGCCTTGTGTGTGCAGATCCTCAGTGCCTGTCTTTGCTCCCCCAAAGGACTGCTTTTCTGCCCCTGCTCTTCTCATTTCTCTCTCTTTTTGCTCAGCAGGGACCCTTCAGTTCAGTCCTTTTCTCCATGACCTCCCAGCCTGATTTCTGGTGGCTCCAGGGCAGCACCTCTTTCTGCTAATAGTAGGACCATGGAGTGATCAGGCTGGGCTGGGAGTGGGTGACCAGCTAACAGAGATGCCATCCTCTTTCTCCCTTCAGAGAATGGAGAGAAGTTTCACAGGGCTCTTCTTTTAAATTCAAGCAATGGTGGGGCTAAAGTCACAGCTGGGGTAGGGGAAAAACTAGGGGCACAGTGGCCTAGAACAAGTTGTGTCCAACTTATGGCTTGACTTATCACTGCTTCCAGCTGTGGGGAACTGACTGGTGATGACAGTCAAAGTTAAAGTTGAGAACAGCCAAAGATGAGGACCTGGGAGAGGGATGCTGTTTGACTCCCCAGCTGGAACACAGGTAGCCACACGTGGCTTTCTTGTCTGCCAGACAAGAAAGTTACAGAAAATGGTGTACTTTAGCCAACAATGAGGGCCACAGGGCCTAGGTCCATATTTCTCCATTAGGTTGTCCCACATTTAAGCAGTATGTGGTGTAGGGTAGGGTGCAGCACTACAGCTCTTGAGTTCCCCGTGGGTGCAGGAAGCATGTGAAGGCACTGATGATAAACTCCTTGCCAGGGTGTGTGGGCAAAGTGAGGGGGGCATCTCTGGCTGTGCTGGCAGGGCGGAACGTAGCTCAGACTGTCATTGTTTGCTGTGCTCTTCAGACATGACACTTTGGGGATCTGAGACATGTCCTTTCTTCTCCAAGACAAAGGGAGGTGTCCTAAGGGAATAGGGAACCTGTGGTGCAGGGACAATGCCCACCACAGAAATCAGGGTGTTATATCTGTAGTGGTGAATCTGAATGAACGAGGAGTCAGAGCCCCATTAATAAGACTTGGGCTCCTAACTCAAGTGTTAAATTTTCCCCTATGTGTGTGGTGTCTCGTGCCTCACATCTGTGTCTCCATTCCTCTCCCCACCCTGGATCACTGACTGCTGCCTTTCTTTTCACTGCAGAAATCAGGAGTATTTGACCATCCCCCTGAACTCTTCCCACGGTGAGTGAGGTGTGGAGCTGTGCTCTGGAATCATCAGACAGGGGACATTATTGCGATGCTATTATTATCTAATCTTTTGGATTATCAAACATGGGAGGAACAGGGAAGTGTCTGGAGGAAAGCAATACACAACCCACCTTCCAGGACAGGAGGTGGTCCCACAGAGGTGGGACATTCTAGCTGACTAGGAAGGCTCTCTCCTACCTAATAATAAAAGGCTCTCTCCTACCTAATAATACAAGGCTCTCTCCTACCTAGTAATACAAGGTAGGATCTGAACACCCTGAGCATATGGCCAGACCTGCATGCTCCTTCCCATCCATCCTGGAAGAGCCACAGTAGCAGCTCGTAGCCTGAGTGTGGAGCTATATGATATGTGCAGCTCCACCTGCTTGGAAAGGACTGAGGCGTAAGGGACATGGCTTTTAGCTTTGTCAAGTCAGGTCTGTGGAGATAAGACGTGCCATAAATACCTACTTTCCTTCCCCCTGCAGCTGGGGTCAGTGTCTCCATGTTTCTGGCATGATGCTGTGGCTTGTTTCTGCTCCCTGACTCCTTGCTTGGAGGGTCAGGGGCCACAAGTGTAGAGTGCTATCACAAGGGATAGCTTTATGCTAGTGTCCCTTCATCCTATGGAAGAAGGAGGGTGAGAAGCCCTGAGGAGAGCCCAAGGGAAGTACATGGGAACCTGCAGCAGGGTGTGTTAAGGAGGCAGAAAACATACTCAGCAGCTAGCTTTGTCACACTCTCCTCCTTGGCATGGAGGTGGCTGTCTGGCAGGACTAAAAACTCTTTGCTTCGTCAGCGGGAGCCCTGCGTGATCTTTGCAGGTTTCCTGATGGCTGCCTGTTTCCTCTCCCCTTCCAGAGGTACCAATCCATTTGCCACAGTCAAGCTGCGTCCCACAGTCACCAACGACCGCTCGGCACCAATCATCCGATGAAGCGGGGCTGCGGACGGCAGAGCATTTCAGCGGGGAAGGGGGGGCGTACAAGTGATGGGCTGTGACCCCCAGCTGGGCAGCCACCTACTGCTGCCACTCATGGAGTAACCTCTCTTTTCTCCTCCCTTCCCTCTGGGACATGGGGACCCATCTTGCCTGGCTGTCTGGCATGCTTTAGCCAGCAGCAGATCCCTGCTGCTCTTTTTGGATTGTCCCTGCTCCCTGTGTGATGTTACTGTACCTGAGTGGGAGAAATCTGTTGTTACTGGTGCTGGTGGCCTGGGAGAGGGGATATCGCTGGTCTGAGAGGTGGAAGGATGGATGGGTAAGATACCTGCAGCGTGGGACAGTGCTAGCAGGACGAGGAAGGTGAAGCTCTGCTAGCCCTGCTGCAGGCAGAGGAGGACACTTGTAGAACAGTCTCTTTGCTACCAGAAGAATGAACCCCAAAGGGAGGAGGCCACAAGAAGGCTTCCAGCAACGTGGTCTGGCTGATGGGGTCTGCAGTGTGCAGCTCTCCGCTCTCGGCCCCTTTGGCAACCGTGTCTGTTTGTAGCAGCATCTGTCCCTTCCCACCCTGGTGCAGCCCCTTCCCCTGCTGGGCAGCTCTGGGGTGAGGCAGGGGCAGGTGACAGTGCCCAGTGCTGCTGCCCTGCTCCTTCGCCTATTGTTCTGCAGAAAATATTTGGTTTTTTTTTTTTTTTAATAAAATGGAGAATGCCACTTCTGTAGTCGTCCCAGCAGGTGGGAAATCACCTTGGTCAGTGGATGGAGGAGGAGAAAGCCTTGTGGTCCCAGCCAGCATGGATGGCTGCCCATGGTCCTGGTGTTGAACGCTGTAGGACTGTGGCTCCGGCTAGGGCAGGGGGCCAGGGCGGACATGGAGGGCAACAGGAGGACTGCACAACCCACGGCCAGCCCCACTTGGGCCCCCACAGCCCCCGCTTCACAGCCACCATGCGGGGCAGTCCTTGCCTGGGAGGACAAGGCTTAGTGGCCATCTTCTCCTGGCCTAGGCTCTGAGCCCCAGGAGTGCTCCAGGGCATCAGTATGGGGGGGGACACTCCCCTGGGAACCTGCAGGGGACTGTGGGTGCCCTGCCAGCCTGGCCCCACCATCAGGGGCCGAAGGGAGAGGCGGGGAGGGAGGGAGCACAAGCAACAGCCAGGGATTTAGCTGATTAGCCTTATTAATAGAAATTAAACCTGGGCTGTGAGTGCTGCAAAGCCCCCGCAGGCCCCCCCGTCCTGCCACCACACAGGCACAGCAGTGAGGTTTGAGGGGCTTTGGGGGTTTAGTCTGGCCCTTTCACTCCCTGCTCCCCAAAATCCCACGCAGGGCAAGCCCTGGCCCCTTCCTTGGAAGTAAAATGGGTTCCCCCACGCATGGCCAGAGACTGGCTCATCCCTGGCGCCCACCAGATACCCTCCTGGGTGGCAGCTGCTGGGGGGTTTTGTTTTGATGGGGGGTGGTTAGTGAGCTGCCAGGGGTGGGCTTGATCCTGCCCTTCCAGCCATGGACAGCAGTGATTCTTTGACCGATCCATCTTGTCCTTACTCTCTGCCCTGCAGAACCACACTGGCGCGTCTCCATCCTTCTGGCTGAGGAAGCAGTGGGAGGCTTCGAAAGCAGCCCCTTCTACCATTGTGCCCCCAACTGAAGTACGGGTCCGTGCCCCCATCCTCCACTGCCCCCCTCCCCGGCACCTTTCCTCCTGGCTGTGTCCATCACCAGCACCCCTCACCCTCCCCCTGCTTCCTCCTGCCGAATCTGCCCCTCACCAGGCTGCCCCGCTCTGCCGGGGAAAGGCCAGGAGCCCCTGGGCAGTGGGATTACTGGGGGATTCGCAGCCGCCTCCTCCCCATTGGCTGGAAAAGCCTCTTAAAAGTGGAGAAGTGTTTTCTGCCTGCTCAGCACCCACAGGTCGCTGCAGACCTGAGACCATAAGCGGCTGCTGACCCACATCCACACTGGGAGTCCTGTGGGGCACTACCTGCACTTGCTGGAGGCAAGAGGGTCCCCCACACAGGGCGACCCCCCAAATTGGCCACGGGCAGCTTTGCTGGGCGGCATCAGAGCCAGAGGAAAGCAGGCTGACAGGGGGATTAGCTCTCTAGTGAGGGCATAGGTGCCACAAAGGAAGGAGCGGGACACAAGAGACTGCTCAACGGGTGTTGGAATTCTGCAGACATCACCCCAGGTCTGGGTGACGACATGCCCACCATGGAGCAAAGAGCCAGTGGAACCATCTAACCACGTGCCCTTGTCCAGTGCCAGCCGGAAGGAGAAAGCAGCGAGGTAGACAGGTCCACTCCGTCCTCAAGAGGCTCAGCCCGTGCTTGGGAGGTCGTTGCTTCGTTGCACAGGTCAGTGGCATGGAGGGATGCTTCCATCCTGGCACCGGCTGCCAAGAGAACAGCTCATCCCAGGCCTGCACTCTCTAATGAATGCTTTTCTGGGGTGTTGTCTGTGGGTTGGGGAGGCTGGTGACATGAATTGTGGCCCTTACATTTAATAAGCACACCCTGCCACCCCATCGGTGCTGTGCGGAGGCATGAGGAGCCATCCTCACATTTGTGTGGACCCTCCTGGATGCAGCTTGACTGGCACAGCAGTACTTTGCTGGGCATCATCCAGCACTGACTGCTCTGTGCTCTGTGTGCACCCAGGGACTGGCAGCCATGGCTGAACCTACTGTGGCCTTCACCCTTCCAGCCCGGGCTGGTGACTTCTGGTGTGGGCGCAAGTCTTCCCCTGGCACCCACCTGCAGCTAGCTCTGCAGCAGCCCCTGCTCTGGCACACCTGCATGTGATGCACACGGAATGGCAGGTGCCTATGCTGATGAGGTTTTAGGTGCATGTGAACTTACCTGTAGTATTTTTACCTGTGAATAAAGCTTCTTAACTGAGAAGAAAATAATAGCAAGCTGTAGAGTGTGCAAAGGCAGGCGTAGGGTACTTGGTGCAACCACCTTCTGCAGCTGTGAGCAGAAGAGCAAGTGTCTGCACTGTGGTGTTAGGAACAAGGCGGCTCTGAACTGCATGGATTAGAGCTGGGATAAATCTCCATCAGAGATATACTACAGCGTATTAGCTCTGGGGGCACCTCCACGGGTGAGCTCCTCTGGTGCACCTCATCTTTTCCAGCCAACACCTAGCTGCAGGTAAAAGCCCCTTCATGCTTTACTGTACAGTTGTGTAGTGCTGAGCAAGTGGCTCCTGCACAGGTACCCATCCAGCTCCGAACTCAAACAGTACTGATAGATATTTGTCTAACATGCTCTTCAAAATCAGATGCTGTTGACTCATTGACAGACGATGCTACAGAAATCTCTAAAGAGCATGCCACAGATGGACAAATATTTTCTTGCTAGGAAGCTGGGGGAAAAAAAAAATGTTAATTACAATGGTTTGATTGATTCATTTGATTTGTGGTGCAGGATGAGATCAAGAAGAGTGAGGCTGGGAGAGGGACTTGGATAAAAAGACTCAGGGTGTGTTTGGTGTCAGTCACTCTTACTTGAGGCAACTCTGTGTAGCAGATGATGCAGTGGTGGAGCACCAGCTCTGGTTGAGAAATCATTGTGCTTTTGCAGCAGGTCGCCTTTTGTACAGCTGTACCTAGCTTGTCAGTCAGGTGGAGCTGGGAGATGAGCAGAAGCTGGGTAATGGCAGAAGCTGAGCAAGACTGTTCAGTCTGCCAGTCCTGGTGCCAGTGATCCAGATAACACCAGAAAGGGTGTGAGGGGGAAGGTGTGGGTGGCTGGAGAGTGTATGATGAATCTCTTCTTCTTTGCAATGATTCTTAGCCTTGAAAATACCTTTATAGCACCCTATTCTCAGTTCATGCTTCTGCCCCTTGCCACAGTCCCTGAGACCTGGACTGAGGGGGGAGAGACTGGAGTAGCCTGCACCAGCCCCTCTGGTTCAGCCCAAGAGTTGTTAGGATATGGCCATCCAGAAGAAGAGCTGCCCAATCCACACTCACAGCCAGATCCTGGACCCTTTTTTTCATGCCTGATGAGGTCCTGAATGTTTGAGGAACTCTGCTGCAGGGACCCATGGTGTGGGCAGACACCTTGGTACTGCCATGAACAAACCCTCAAGTTTTTCAGGAGCAATGGTTCCCCAGAGAGGGGAAGGAGGGAGACGGCTGCGGGTGGCTGGTGACTCCGATCCCACCCTTCCCTCCACAGGACAACCGTGGCTCAGGTACTTGACTAAAACCAACCAGTCAAGACCATTTTGTGCTTCCTCACATTGATGCACTGTGGGTGCAGGTGCTATGTCCCTCGCAGAGGGGTCTAGAACTGCCCTGGGTGTCTTGTCTTGCAAGTCCCTCCTCCAGCATCCCCTATACTATGGTTTCAGAGCCCTCCCAGCCCTGTTTGCAGCCTTGGCTCTGCATGCTGAACTCCTGCAGCCTGAGAAAGACCAGTCACTCTCTTTTTCTGCAAGATTCAAGGGTGTTGCAGGGTAGGACCACCTCTTACCAAGCAAAGGCACTTTACCTGGACTCTGCCCCAGCCTGTGCCATCCGTGATTTTGCCTAAAGGATTTCACTTGTTTAACCTACAGAGCAACAGCAGTGCTATGGAAATGAGGGCAAGTTGTCCCCATTGCTTGGAGGACACAAAGAAGAGGGACTGCCTTGAGAAATGCACCCAGATCCAAAGCTCCCAGGTGCTAGCTCTGTGTTGACAGTCCATAGGAGGGTCCTTGTCCCCTCGGCAGTCTCCAGTCAGCATGTGACTGCTGGCATTTCCCACAACTGCCAGTGCCAAGGGACATTGCCACCACCTTGTAGTCCTTCAGCCAAGGGAGCTGGGAGGAGAGAGGACACACATTGCCAGTCTACTGTCAGCAGGACGGTGATAGGGCAACCTGGACCTGGCAAAGCCCAGCTCAGGCATGGAGAAAGCCCATCTGCTTTCTAATGCCTGTCTGATACCACTTAGGAGCATCTACAATCAAAGGCCAGTGATGTTTTTGCACCCAGG